AAAAAAAAAAGTTATAATACTACAGCAACCCAGGCAGTGTTATATTGCTGAAAGGATAGATATAAAGATAAATCTTAAGGTGAATGGATAAACAGATTTTTGTACATTCATATAACAAAAATTAGAAAATCTAGAAAATATTACTAAGTCAATGGAGCCTCCCTAGTGGCACAGAGGTAAAGACAGTGCTATCAAGCTGTCACCAGCCACTGCAGCACCAGTTCAGTCCCCCGGCTGGCCAGAGCTAGCCCACATGGTGTACCAGACCTCTGCTGTCACGCCTGCTGCTACTCTCAGTAGTGTATTCAGTGGATCTGCCTGTTCTGCTCCCAATTCTGTCTCTGGTGAGTCCTCTCACTTCCCCCCACCTCTGGCTTACACCCCAATTCTTGTATACATAAATAAATAAATCTTTTTTTAAAAGAAAACAAAGAGGCCAGACCCAAAATACCATATACATAGAGACTGGTAGTTTTCTGGAAAGGAAGGCATTAACTGTAAAGACATATAAAGGAACTTTTGGAGGTGATGAAAGTTTCTGTATCTCTTGTCAGTTATTTCAAATTTTTCTGTATCTTGTTCAGGGTGGTAGTTGCAAAGATGTAAGTTATCAAAACTCATCTAACTGTAGACTTAAAGGGTACATTTTATTGTATTATTCACAGCTCAGTGTTTTTAGCAGTGAAAAAAAATCCATAACAATTTAAGCTACAAAGCACAGAATGGAAAACACAGAAAAGTAGGTAGAAAGAAGAGGGATCCTATAAAAGAACAATGGACACTCAGCTTTTCACTGATAACATCAGAAGTGAGAAGACTCTAGTATTTTCAAATTCCTGAAAGATATCTTTTAGCTGGTGGGGTTGAGTTCCTGAATTATGGAAAGGTAGGTGGAGTTATGGCCGAACAGCTGGCATGAAACTGCCCGATAGAAGGGCGATGCATCCACCATGAGGCAGAGTAGGTGTTTCCGGTGCATATGAACTCTCGCCTTCATAGTCACCCTACTGTAGCCAAGCCTGGAGGAGACAGAGTGTCACAGTTGGTGGGTTCTCACCTGTGCGTTTACTACTGCAGTTGGAGGCAAGGACTCCAGCTCAGGGCTCAACAACAGGGTTTATTTACGAGAGAGCAGCTGAGAAAGAGGAAACAGTCAAGGTCAGAAGCAATAGCAGTGGTTTGAATGTCCTCAAGGTCGAAGGTTGGAAAGATCTTGAAGTTCTCTGCAAAGATCTCTGCAGAGGTGGCACCACAGCAGTCAGCAACAGCAAATGGGCCACAGTGGACACCAATGTTATAGTCCTCAGATGCTGGACATTAAGTCAACAACAGCCAGCTCTTTCAGAGACACCTAGCATGGGGCTGATGGTAGCATTCAGCAGGCAGTTTGCAGGCAGAGTAGGAGCTAAGTCTGCAAATGTATGGTACCAGATGACAGGGTCTGACATTACAGCTCAATGAAGGTCATCCAGCCCAATCTGCCTACCTGTCCAAATGCCTCTTCAAGCCCTCTTTCAAGCTCCTCACACAGGCCCACATCTCAGGCTGATTGGAAACTGGCTTAAATACTCTCCATGTTGTGCCCTTTTGCATGCCTGATTGGTCCTTTTAGTTGATTTGCAACCATGGGACCGCCAATCAAATTGGGAGTTTTATGACCCTATATGTGCTTACCTGCCAAGGGGGAGGAAACTACACCAGTTGGAAGCACTAGGAAATGAGTGGGTACACACTCCAGTCCCACCAGTCCCCATTGTTGGATTGGTTCTGGTTAAAATCCAGTCAAATTAGTCGAACCCATTTCCAAAAATCCCAGCCCCTGCCCAGATGGGAACTGCCTTGAAGTAGGGCAGACTTCTGGGCTGAAGGTCCGCTGGAGCCAGCCTCAGTGGGGCTGGAGGCAAACTGCAACCCAATGTCCTTCGGTGGGGCTGGGCTTAATAATTAGGGGGTCCTGCTGCACTATGAGGGTTATTTGGCAGGTGAAGAAACTAAATAGAGGGAACCACATTTGGTAGAATTTAAAATTCTTGTAGTTCACTCGAGAGAATTCTGATATGATCACCTGATGTCACAACCCTGTCTAGCAGGACTTTGGCTCTAACCTCCATTCGTCAGTGTTTTTGTTACCGAAGCCCAGCGCCTCAGCAGTGGCAGCAGGCAGGAACAGTGGTGATCATTCAACCTGCTGCTCCACCACAAGTCAGTTGTGAAAGTTGCTCTGCAGAGCTCAGTAACTGCCTTTTTTTTTTTTTTTTTGTAATGGACCAATTAGGTGCGAGCTTGAGCTGATTGGTGCTAAACAGTCCAATCAGACTTGTGGGTAGAGCACCCTGAGAGAGTATATAAAGGTGGGGGGGGTACCTAAAGAAAGACCATGCCAGCCCCCAAGGAAGAAGGGCAGGACTCCATTCCTGCCTCCAAGAAAGAGCAAAAGCATCCAGCAGCCGCCCTCTAAGAAGGGAAGAGAAGCTGCAGGACTCTGTCACAGACGGGCCCTCTGTCCTGGCTCTGAAACTGCCTGACAGGAGCACCACGGCCCGGGCTGGTGTCTCAAAGGGCTGCTTGTTGTCGGTATAGCCCAGCTAACTCACAAACTGCTGCTAACGCAGGGTGACTGTGACTCCGCCTCCGGGGGGACCAGTAGTGACATCACTACTGGCCAGTGCTGCCCAGCACTCCTGGAGACCAGTGGCGACCATCACTGATGCTCTCTGGGTGATTTAGCCGCCACTTGTGGATACACTGAGCTCTTCATTTCCCCTGTTTGTAAAATAAACCCCCTGGGGATTGTTCCTGGAGCCTGAGGTCTCTTGCATTGTGTAAACGGGTGCAAACCCACAGTGACCTGTCCTCTTACCTGTCCTTTTTTAGGCCCATAGGCCCCTATTGTGTGGGTGTTGTACTGCTATGGCCCTTAATTTTTGGCCTTTTGGGACTTTTTTTTAAAGATTTGTTTATGCATACAGAGCTGGAATACAGCCAGAGGAGCAGGGGTGGTGAAAGGATTCACCTGAGACAGAGCGGGAAGCAGAACAGGCAGGTCAAGTGAAATACACTAATGAGGGGAGTAGCGGGCAGGTCAGGAGAGGTCTGCCTCGCAATGTGGGTCAGCTCCCTGGCCAAGGATTGAACTCCCGCTAAAGCAACTGCAGCTAGCTTTGCTGTGCTGCGCTTTAACCTGTTGTGCCACCAGGGAGGGCCCCCTTTTGGGACTTTGTAATGGCTGTTCAATCTCAGAGCTCGGCAGGAAGGTGGCTGTTCTGTCCTTCTATCTAGCCTCCTCCCTTGTTGCCCTTTTGTAGCCCTCTCTACCAGTTCATTTTCACTACTATCCAGCCTCACTCAAGGCTTCAGAAGCCTCAGCTCCTCACCCAGCAGCCCTTGGGAAGCTGAAGTTATATTGAGCTCTCTTGTAGTGGCTGAGATACAGCACACCATGAAGACTCTCCTGTGACCCTGTGTGATGGAACATGTCCATTGCTGTGACAGGGACTCTGCTTCAAGAGTTCAGCTGGCAGTACAGGCCCTGAGAAGGACACCTGCACCCATCTCACAGTGTTCCCAGTAGTATCCCCTGTGGTAGATGAGGAAATGGGGGATAGAGTATTGTACCCAGTCACACTGTCACAATGACAGCTGCTCACTGACAAAGCCAGAGTGCAAACTGTGGTCTCCACATTCACAGTCTGCTCCTTTGACCCTATATCACGGTCCTATGATGGAAGATTTTGCAGCCTAAATCTGAGGAACAAATGGGTCCTCTGTCAGGGCTTCTGAACATCCAAATGAATCAGTTAAATTCCGAGAAACATGTCCCTCAGCCCCCACCCACACACGCCCAGGACTGTCTTTGATACCCAGGGCCCTGCTACTCCCATGTTCCTGCTTGTTTTACAAAGATGTATGTTGTCTTTCCCTAAGGTCTCTAGAAGAACCTGGAAGAGCTGATGATGAGGAAAATGCAGCTCCTCAGGCTAAGCATGCCAGCCTGCAGGTAACAGTGCCACCCATCGAGGCCTAGCTACCCTCCTTAGACATGGAAGGGATTCCACAATTTACTCATTATTTTGTTCAGCAAATATTTACTGATGCCTCCAAATGACAGGCACTTGGTTTAAAGCTACAGTAAGCACAAAATAAATAACCTGACCTTTTGCACTATTGAAGATGACAACAGTGCAAAGTAAGTATAATACAATGTGAAAAGAGCTTTTTCTTCTGGCTGCTTGGAGAACTCCTCTAAACTGAGCTTGAACTTCCCTTCTTGTGCCTCTCCCTTTCTGTACACGCCTGCTATAGAAACAGTGGTGAGGTAAAGCACCTGGGTTTCCATGTTCCCTTTCTGAAGACTGAGCTTCTTGGGAGCCAGGTGCACATCCAGTGGTTCTGTCCCAGGTGCCTGGTGAAGTGAGTTCACAAGATTGAGTTCACATGAGCTTTAGTTTCACTGAGTAGCCGCTATCACTAGGTACATCCAAGCTGCTCTAAGTACTTGGAACACTGTGTCCTGATCCTCTAGGAAAAACCCCAACCCTCAGAGAACCGCTGGCTGAAGTATCTGGAAAGGGACACCAAAGAACCGGAACCGGAAGAAGTGTGTTTCAGCAAACGGTCCTCATCCGAGACAGAGAATCCAGACCTCCCCTTCAATAAAGACCTGCCTAGAAAAAGGTGCTAAGTGAATCACTAATCCAGACCTGGACCTGTGCCACACTAACGTTAGGATGTCAGCTGCTGCTGGTATGGAAGGGAGGCTGCGGACCACCAACTGGGTGGCAACAGTGCTCACTGACCTCAAGGAAGAATTTCTGAATAGCAGGGTTGACAAAGTAACATACGCCCAGAGTAGCTGACCTGGCCAAAAGCTTTTAACTTAGAACAGAAAAGACCTGATTCATACTAGGGTTCTTCTCCAGACGTCCTCTGCATTTCATTGAGTTTTTTGAGAGGGCCTTATCTAGATATAGGTTATCCTTTACAGGGCAGGTGCTGTATTGCATAGGTAGGGAGTTCCTATTCAAAATATAACTTTCTCACAGTAAGCTGTGGAGCATGGAAATGGACTGGTTTGGATGTTGGGCACCCTGTTATTGGTGGTGAGGTGCAAGCCAAGCAGCCACCTGGGAAGCTGAAGGATGATGAGATTATACTGTATGACCAACTCAGGCTTGATGGGACGGGACTGGATTCTGACAACACTTACTTCCACTTGCCAGGAAATGGAACCAGAGCACAGTCCAGCCTCCACACAGCCCTAATATCCATAAGTCAAGCAAATCTGAAGTCACCTGGGACCCGCAGAAGGTCAGTGATTTGAGGATATAGTTTCTCTACTGGTCCAAGTGACCACTGAGCACACACAGTTCTTTGTGTTGTTTTGGCAGCAATTAAAGTGTAAGACTTAGGCCCCCATAACACCAGTTTCCCACCTGGTACCCTCTGTTGTGAACTCTTTGTTCTGGCCTACTGTTTCCCTGCTGTGCTTACCCAGTGATGTTAATTCCTGGTCACAGGGTCTCTTTATGGCATGGAGGAAGCCAGGGCTGACCAGAGGGGTTTCTAGTCAGGATAGATCTTGTTCCTCTGCATGATCTGTCAGGCTGTTTAATATGCGTGGCAAGAGTAATGCTCTCCACCCTCACTCTCCATCACTGAGCAGGTTATATAAGGTCTTGATGTTTCCAACCATGCTAACCCCACAAATGTTTCAAGGCTGCAGAATGCAGGTTTTCCTCTATATTGCCTCCCTCAATGGAGGAGCCTCAGACCTCCCCCAGCCTTAGACCTCCGTGCAGAAGTCAGTCACACCCCAGATGTTAGAATAATGGCGTCTCTGATTCTACCATCTCAGTCCTGGGCTCAACACTTGTATCCAATATCAGTTTAATGCTCACCACAGGCCTATTGTGTGTATGTTTTTAAAGATTTATTTATGCATACAGAACTGGGGTACAGGCCAGAGGTACAGGGGCAGTGAGAGGATTCACCAGAGACAAAGTGGGGAGCAGACAGGCCGGCTGACAAAGTAACACTGCTGAGGGGAGCAGCGGGCAAGTCAGAAGAGGTCTGCAGCGCCATGTGGATCACCTCTGGGGCAGGGGTATGGAGCTCATCTGAAGTGGCTTTAGCTTCCTAGTGCTGTGCTTTAATCCGCTGCACCACTAGGGAGGGACTGGCCTGTTGTGTTTTGAACGTGAGAAAGTAAAGTTAGCAAAAGCCCGGTCAGGTCACAGCAAGTCAGTAACAAAGCCTGGTAGTGGTGATACAGGGTCCCATCCATCTTGCCTTTCAAATTCCACAGTAGGTGGAGAAATCCAATTTTCAGTAGTTTCAGAGGTGGACATAAGTCAAGCCCCCCTTGGTGCCTCTATGCAGTTTCAAAACCCTCAACACGGTTCTAGAGTACCCTTCCTGAGAGCATGCAGTGAGCAGGCAGCATAGGGTCTCTCCATCCCTTCCCAGTGGCCTCTAGAGCCCTTCCTGCTCACACCTCCTCTAAAACACCCCCTCTGCTGATGCTAAGATCCCCATGAAGAGTTCCTGATTATGTGAGGCTGTCTTCCTATTTTGGAAAGCCTGGTCATGAAATTTAGTGGAGTATCTGGGATAAGGTAGAGCACACTGCCTTGCTTTGCTTTGCTATAAACTTTAAAATCAAAGCACCTGTCTGGCCTGCCAGCCCTAGGAACTGCTAAGCTGAACTTAGAGCAGTGTTAGAACCTGAGGCAGAAGTGAAGAAAGCTTTAGAGCAATGCATAGACCCTTCCTTCCACCCCTGGGTCTTGCTGGGCCAAAGACACTTATTCAAAACAGAGGACATGAATCTCTAACTCTCGCTAACTCTCATTTTCATTGCAGGGCCACACTATCCTGGCAGAGGTCCAAAAAGGAAGCAGTTATGAAGCCTGGGACACCACGGGACAACCACCATGTCCTGCCCAGCAGATCAAGACGACATCTAAGTGGAGACAATTTCTCCTGTCACCTGAAAACATTTCACGTGTGCACACCGAGCCCCCAGCACCCCAGCAGAGAGCACTCAGACTAGCTGAGCAAGGGGCCTCCAGACCCTATAATCTCAGTGAAGGGGCCCTCAGAGGCTCTCCCAGTACATTCCAGCTCCTGCAAACCACATATACCCCTATATCTAGGTCTAAGAGGGCCGGTGGGAAAACCCCAGAGCAGTCACAGGACAGAGGCCATTGGGCAAAGGGTGGACCCGTGACCAAAAGGCTACAGGAGCTCCCCCTTACACGATTGTGTGACCTCTTTAAAACTGGTGAGGACTTTGATGACAATCTGTGAACAGAGACTAGAGTAGTATATTAATTTGGACATATTTGTTATAAAGTCAGTCTCTCTTAATAAAGACATTTTTAATGTAAGCACTTGTCCATTACACACCCAAGTCCCTGGAAACACCCTTCCCCAAGTTGCTTTAAGTAGGACTGGAGGACAATTGATGGTAACTACCAAAAACTGACAATAAACAGGACTACCACATAATCGCGAGTTACAACACCTTTGATTAAAGTGCTTATACCATTTAATTAGATCATTTACAAATATAGTAACAGAATGGCTACAAAGGGATTTTCTTAATTTCAAAACAGACACCTGGAAGAGAACTGCAGTGGTAACAGGCAGCAGTGAGCGAGCGCCAACATCAGCTCCCCTTCTCGGCCCTTCAACCCATAGATGAAGCCTGGGCTTTCTCACCTCCAGCACTGTGCAGGACCGTCTCATCCTGCCCAACAGAATACTGCTGGTGCTCTGCCTAAACCTGGAGCAGAAATCAAACTACTTGTCAGTCTACTATTAGTTACTTTTTTAAAAAGCAGAAGGCCATTAGGCAAGATACAGTGTGCAGTGCTGGTGTAATCTGTCAGGAAGAGCAAGAATATGATGTGGTGTGGTGTTAGCCTCTCCTAGCACAGTCTCTCTGCCTTGGGGAACCTTGGGGCTTCAGGGGCCCAGCTGTGTGGAGCCAAAGCACCCAAGGAAAACTGACCATGTTTCTTAGACATCACAACACCACCTCTGTCTCTGTTCCTCTTACACACACACACACACACACAATGTATTGGGAGCTCCCTCATGTCACTTACTCTAGCCCTAAATGGCTTCATGCATCCCCACCCCCCAGATTCTGGAAGAAGAATGCAGATAAAGTGGCCTTTGCAGAGGCCCTGGGGTTCTACACTAGCACAACACGACTATGTGACAGAGGACACAGAACTGGTAGACAAAACTGTCACAATGACAGTGAGTGCTTTGAATACTGGATGGTGTCCAGGGCAGCCCCGATGTCATAATTCTTGGTCTGTAGGAGCCTGGTGAGCCACCCGCCTTCATCAGAGAAGCCCATGGACAGCATCTGGGAGAGGGACTCAATCAGCCGGGGGTCAGCTTCTGCCAGAGAGAACAATAAGTATCATGAGTCACTGGGCCCCATGTGCCTCCCCAAAACAGCACTACCCTGTGCAGCCAGTGAGTACTCAGCACCTGTAATCCTGGCCCATAGCTGGCCCTACAAACCACAGGGTCTCCTAACGCTTGCTAAGCAAAGGCTGGCAAACTTTTTTGGTAAAATGTTTTGCAAAGAGGAACTACCCAAAGCTCAAAGAGGGCCAGCCATCTGCCTTCTGCCAGAGAACATGTAGTATCCCCCTCCAGTTTGTTGGAGTCAGAAGAACAGTGTTAGGTTAAGCCCCCCCACCCCAGGGTGTTCCAGGAAACCCCACAGCCTCTAGTTCCGGGAAATTTAGCTATACAAAGAGAAAAAATAACTCCGGATACGGCCACCTGGCACCAAAGACCGTGGGGCAAACAAGGCAAACAACCCCAAATAAGGCGACCACCCCGACCTCTCTGCCACATTAGGCCCCAGCCATCCTAACCCTACTTAAGAAACCCCAAAACCCTCAACCAACGCAACACCTTCTAGCTTAGTCCGGAGGTGCTGTCCGAGAGCACGATAAACTTTTCTTGTTTTTGCTATTCTTGTCTCACACTTTATTTCTTGCCAAACTTTCCCTCACCATTCCTTTTCATTAGCCTTTCAAACAGCTGCTTGGCTACTCTGCAGGCTGTCCGATCTCTGTCATAACTACTCAGCACTACCACTACAACATAAAAGCCAGACAATAAGTAAACAAATAAGCATGGCTGTGTGCCAATAAAACCTGACTGAAACTTGTATTTTATTTAATGTTCACATGTTGACTTTTTCCCAGTCATTATATAAAAGTGAAAATATTATTCCCAACCTGTAGGTTACAGTTTGCCATCCCCTGCTCTCAGAAGAGCTACTGGCAGCCCGGAAGCCAAATTTGGCCCCTGTGTGGTCTTCATATACCTGTTGCCTTGAACACTCCCATGACAGTAATGAACTCGGGCAGATAAGAGTGAAGCCATTCAGTGTGCTCTCGGCTGCCTCAGCCTCCACCCCACCTACTTGACACAGTACTTTTCTGTCTGGGTCCCTTCAGGGACATTGGCCACAACTCATGCTGAGGTCAGCACCCCATGGGCAAAGTGAAATGGACACGTCTACCTTGAGTTATACACGGACATGCCACAGTGTCACCTTCAAGGTCACATCTGCCTTATAATGTCTATACATGGATGTTAAGTTTTAGAAGTTATTCAAATTGTTTGAGGTTATTATTCCTCAGTATAGACGCAAGAGGACAAAACAACTCATTTTCCCTCATGTCAGTAGGGAGGCCCTATAGTAAAGACTGGATGACATCTGTATGTCTAAAAGCAGATGAAGAAACAAAGTCAACAGACAAAACTGCTTGAAATCACTTGCCTGGTGGAAGATGTGGATACAATGCAGCTTCCTTTAGTCCTGTGGGCCCTTCCTGAGAAGGATCCAGAGAGCTTGGCCCTTCAGATTCAGGCATCTGCAGAGACTGGAGTTCACCTGTAGATGGATCCACTTCTTTTGAAGACAAATGAGTCCAGTCATCATCTCCTCCTGAGCCGTTATCAGACTCCATCTGTTCCTGGAATAGAAGCCCCATGAGTGTGCTAGGGACATGGGACCGCAGCCTCAGTTCCTGAAGAGTCAGCTATGGAGGGCTGACAGAGCTGTGGGAATGGTTTCTTTAGAAAGCTTAAAAGCAGTGTTCACAGAATGCAAAACATAGTGACAAAATTGGCGTACCCTGGGGAGGGGTTTTGGATGGGTTACTGGGAAAATGCTTGCCTCAGACTGAACCCCTGACTCCAAGGCGATCTTCTTCATTTGCTCTGCCAGACCCTGTGCACCCTCCACATCCCCCTCCAATTTGTTTGGATCAGAAGAGCAGCTGCTTGGCTGTGAGCTGCATTTCTCTTCAGTGCTGGAGCTGCTTGTGGAGACAGGTGTCAAGCGGCTTCTTTTCCCACCATGTTCCACATCAATATCAACCTCAATACCTAGAGACCAAAGGAGATAACAAAAACCTCTAAGTCCTTCAGAGGTTACCTGAAGGTCAGACCAGTAAGATGACTGGGGGCTCACAAAGCTCCTCCATATTCCATGTCTAGTGGGTCAGGACATGGTGCATGTGGCACTTGCTATGCAGGCACAGATGGTAAAGTTTACTGTAGAACTCAGTGTCACAAGGCCGGAAAGTGATGAGCCAGGATTCCACCCCAGTTCCCAGAAGACAAATGGATGGCCATCTTCAAGCTTCAAAAGGGTCCCAAAAGCAGAACTCCCAATATCCTGGCCCCCTATCATTCTGGTAGAAAAACAATCCACATGTCCATCTTTGGACCTGGCCCTTCCCTATGCTTAATAAATCATTAACTTTAGCCAACACCCAGGGTAGTTTGGGAGTAAAAAAGCCTATAAAGATCTTTTTCTGACCACACAGGGCAGCAGCTGCACGGCAGGCAGGGTGCAAGCCAAATAAAATAGTCCATGCAGCAAGATGTCCCTGCCATGGCACTGAAGATCACAGGAAGCATCACACTCGTGGCAAGGCCTAGTGAAATGGGAAATAGATTTAAAGCTAAGGTTCTCTATAGGTAGGCAACGGCCTGTGCAAATATCTGTGAAGCCCACAAAGCTGGAAACACAGCCCCGGTGTCCACCTCTAGTCTCCACACTCTGGGTATGTGCTTATGGTGAAAGCAGAGGCAGGCACAACCACAAGACTATATGGCTACAGCTTAAGAGTCAAACAGTTCTAAAAGACTGTCATGAAGATTCCTAGCCCCCACCCCCACACGGCCTGGCCAACTCCACAGAGAGACAATGTTTAAGTCGTAGCACTCTTTCCTGATTATTTGACTGTCTTACTCTACAAGATGATCACTTGCCTTCCCTTTCCTTATTTCAAAACCTCAATCTTCGGTGCAAACAATATCCAATGTTTATGTTATGACCATTATATATTGTTCTTGCAAGGCCAACTAGTGAACTTGACTGTTTCCTTGTAGGAATCTTTGAGTTTTGTAGTTAGTGATACCTGTTTCTTTGCTAAATTTCCCCACATTTTCCAACAGGTTCTCTAGAGTTTCTATATGAGTTGAGCCCATCATTTTTCTCCTCAGTTCGTTTTCCAGAAGCTACCCCTTAGCTCCAGCCTCCAGCTCATGCCAAACTGGCAGCTCTCCAGGCCAGCAGTACAGCTACTTCCTTCACTGGGACCCCCTTTCATTTCAGCATGGTAATGCCCTTATAGTCTTCCTTCTGTGATGGGTCCCCTTTCCAGTACCTATTTCTTGACTGTAGTCAGAGAGGGCTGAGCCCAGCTTTAATGAAACTCTTCACAGTTGGCTTTCCTTCTAAGCATGCAAGTGCATAACTTAAGCTTTTAATACTTAGGCATCTAGTTCAAATAGCAGTGCTATCAATAAGCTAGGACTGACACAGAATATCAGATGTAGTGATTTAGATGATTAAGACCTTGCAAACCTGAAAACTTTATTCTGGCTTCATACCTAATTTGTGTACAGAGTTCTAGGCTGAATGATCATTTTAAGGTAGGACTTTTGAAACCACTTATTGTTCCACGGTCTTCTGCTTCCAGTGTTCTGCTCTTTGTTGTCCCAAACCTGTAAGGTGACTGAGAGCTTTAGGACCCTCCCGTCTTTCTCACATTTTTGACACCTGATGACAATAATTTCAGAGTATTTTCAAATCACGGGAAAAGGCAGTCGGGGTCCCTTTTATCCTAAGGGTTTGTATCCTTCCAGTTCCAACACATTATTTGATTTTTTGTTAATTTCCTCTCTTCAGTGTTCTGTTCTTTCTGGAATTCCTACTCATTCCAATGTGGGGCTTCTAGGGTTAAACACTGAAATTTGTTCTTTCTCCTGCCTTTTGTTATGATTTTGATGTATTTCCTTCAGGGGATCTTAAAATCTTCTGACGTTCTTTTCCCATTATTATTATTCTTGGTAGTTTCCAAGAATGTTCTTACTCTGTTCCTATTATCACTTTTTAGGTATTCTGTTCTTTTTTCATTAATTCAAACACTCTTGTGTCTCATGAGGATTTTTCACATGCTTTTCCCCCCAGAAAAGGCCAATAAGGAGTCCTCTCATGAAGCCAGAGTCATCAGCTTCTCTGTGCAGGATGACTGCTGAGTCCAGCCAGGGCTCGAGGGAGCCCAGTTGGAGGAGTTACAGGTTGCATCTCCAGAGCTCTCAGCCTCTGTTAAGCATCAGCTCCCAGCTGCTGCTAGAACAACAACTCATCCTTAATGCCTCTCCCGTCCCTTGTCCCTGCTGTCCCAAAAGTTGACACTTACTTGGGTGAGACAAGAATTAGAAATCATATTTCCTGCAAGGGTTCGCAAGGGCCATCATCTTGCTGAGTGGGCCCCTGAAGTCTCTGTGATCTTTAATAGGGTCTTCAACACGTCAGTCTTGCTCCTTCCTCACCAGTGTCCCTGGTGGGGTTTCCATGGTCTCCACTGTTAGTTAATTACCTTTCTATCTTCCCAAATCTGAAGACATCATTTTATCTTGTCTTCTATTACTTTTTTCTTTTGTTATGTTGCTTTATACTCTTTTTAATACCTTTACTGTTACTTTAGCAGAGTGTGAAGCATGAGCATAGATTAAAAAACAAGCTTAGGGCCTCACTGGTGGTGCAAGGGGTTAAGTCTCAGTACTATGAAGCCATTGGCAGCCGCTGCAGCACAAGTTTAATCTGCTGCCAGGGAGCTGACCCACATGGCACAGCAGACCTCTCATGTCCTGCCCGCTGCTCCCCTCAGCAGTATGTTTAATCTGCCTGTTCTGCTCCCCACTCTGTCTCTGGTGAATACTCTGGCTTGCACCCCAACTCTTGTATGCATAAATATAAATCAATCTTTAAAAGAAAGAAACAAGCTTAACTATCAGAACTCCTGCCTGCAAAACTTGTAATAATTTGTGCACTGCTGTTCCCAACGGTTTTTGTTTGAAGACATGATGTGAAGAGCCCTGCTGTTCCATCCTAGATTTCACTGACTGTGACACCAAGCCAGGCACAGTCCTGGGACTTGACAGTGTACCTGCTCAAGTGGTTCTCACAGCAAAAGGCTTTGTTTTTACTTTAAAACTAACCCCACACAGACGCTAGGAGGCTGGCACTGACTCCCCTTGAGGCCCTGCTTTGGGAAGAGCCTTTCTGGGCAGTTAACAGAGTCATACTAGGTATTAAGTTCTTTATTATGAGAGGGAAAATACCGAGAAGTTCAACAACAGAGTTTAATCAAAAGAATCAATTCCTCAAATAGCTCTCTTCAAGTGAAATACTTAGTGGCATAGTTGACTGAAAATTTCCCTGTTGAGGTATACTCCAGATTCCTCCCTAACTGATAGAAAATCTATCCACTTTGAAAGATCTGAAAATGCCTTTATCCTTACCCCAAGACCTCTGAGCACTTATAAAAATTATTCCTATGTGTCCCAAGAAAGGAAGCCAGGTACTAAGTCATCAAGTGTGCCCTACGGTTATTTGGAAACAGCTCCCAGGCCCCATCCAGACCTACTTACCAGAACCCAGAAGGCAGGGCCTAGGATTCCACACCGTTTCAAAGGCCCCACCTAGACCTAGAGCTGGTTTTGTGATGTTTCAGGTGGACTCCTTCTTTTCGTAAGGACTTTGTCTTCAGAATAATTTTTAATCAAGTTGCCATGTACCAAAACATATACCCAAAAAGACCGGTATTGGTGATTTTGATGTTCAGGATTGGGAATGATTTTTCATTTACAGTCATTATGGGACCAGCTTCTTGTGGCACCTAAGTAATAGCCCATTAGACAGAATGCCTGTTTCAAAACTCTGTTCACTCTCAAACCTTCCCTACGTCTGATGTGAGTGGCAGGTATGGCTTAGGGTTAGCTTGTTTCCCTACTCTAATCTAAACACTGCTCCCCCATCTTACTTCCTTAGAAAGCACTAACAATAGCAATTCTTTGTTCTCATTCTCTTGATGGCATTTACCACCAGCACAGAAACCATATGTGGTATGAGCTATTTCATGCAGCAGTGAAGCACCAAAATCACTGGTACATATTAGTCAGAAAGAGTATAAGCAGAAATGGCCTCAAGTCAGAGGCAGTAAAGCACAGGATAGATGGTAGACAGGGTTTGAGCCCCTCTCTATCAACAGTCTTTCAGACACTGGCTATCATTTTTGAACAAACTGGTAGGTACTTCCTGCCACAGCAGGAAATGATCACTCTGATCACTGCTTCACTTAATCTTGAGTCAGTTGCTTGCATCAAGTGCCTGACTCAAACTATATGGGGCCACACCACTGTGGGGGAACACACTGTAGCTCACAGCCACAGACCGGCACTGAACTTGAGGCATCACACAGAACATCCTCCTCAGAAACATCTGGAAAAGATACCTGCACCCACCCCTTCCCCGCCCCCTCCCCACCAAAGAATAAAAGAGACAGGGAAAGGAAAAGAGAAATGGCATCTTAATTAACTATTCACGCATGTCCTTGAATAAACCCAAAGGCCCACAACACATCAGGGGAAAATGCAAACCATTCTTTCCCCAAAGAAGAGACGGAAATTGGGAGGCCAGCCCTTCAAATAAGACTAATAACCCCTCCCTACCTAATCATACCAGCAAACAGTGGTTGATTCTATTTCAACCCATTTGGAAACCTTAAGAATCTGTCAAGGAATTGAACTTTTGAGTGGCCTGTGGTACAGAACTTAGTAAAGGATGAACTGAGGAGACAAATCCTTGTCAGTGTCAAAGGTATATCAGTGAGCATTCCTCTCCAGGATCCTACACACAGAGCCACAAATACTCTGATATCAAAGAATAGGCACTTCAGCCACTTACCCAGAGGACTGAGGGCAGCAGCCACGCTCTCCCCTACATTTTTGAGGAAATTCAAACTGGGATCCTCTGATGGACCAGAAGCTTTGATTTTAAAAAACAAAAACAAGAGATATTTAATCCAAAGAACATTTCTCAGTGACCGATCCCTGCCACAGGCCTATCTTCACACAGGGCCTTCATGAGACTTAAACTCAGCCCAATCCGGACCCCACTGTGAGCACACTCTTTATCCCATTACCCTCTCAGCTCTCCCCGCTTTCTCTGTGACCCCTGGTGCTCAGGATGCCATGGAGGACTCAGCACACATAGCATAAAATGCTGACCACATCCCTGTTATTTACTCCAAATAAAACAAACAGCTCCACCCCTTTGTATCAAAAGGTATGTGAATCAAAGATTAATAAAATTAGAAAAAACCAGATTCCAAAAATCTAGACTGCAAGTTACATGTAAGTTTTTAATGTTGTAAGTTTCTAAGCTTTTAACTTTGTGATTCTGTTTAGTCTGTACAAATTTGGCTTTCACTTTCCTGATGGTTAACACAAAAGACAAAAAGATTATGGCACAAAAAAAATGCAGGTGCTGAAAGGCTCTTCCTGCCTGTGTGTGCGCCTGTCTCATAAGGGCAGCACTGCGAATCAGGAAAAGGATTTGGTCTAGGTCCACCACTGCTGAGCTAGGCACCTCAATGTTCCCTTTTGTGAAATGGAGATAATACCACCACCCTGCCCCAAGCTGGCAGTTCGGTAAGGATGACATGAATGGTGTGATGTACAGGTATAGCAGGAAATCATGACACATGAAGGCCTGATGAACTTCACTAGATATACACCCAGCCCTCCAGCTGTCTCCCTTTCACCTTACCTTTGTGAAGCCAGCGGATCAACCTCACCTGAATCTGCTGTGGGGCTGGCACGGGAATCTCCTGCTCGAGGGGGCCGTGGGCTCCAATTCCCCGGTGGGCACGTGTCCCAGGCAGGCCACCCGAAGTGCCCATGTTTCAGCTTCCGAAGCCAACGGTTATGAGAGAAGCCCTGGAGTCCAGCAGAGGGCCGGGTAGGGCTAGGTCAGGGGACTCCTGCCACCCAGCACCTACCCTAGCCCACTGAGGTTCAGTGGGGGCCCACTCACCTCGGAGAGGTTCGCAAAGGCACTGGGGAAGGCAAGCTTGCTGTGCTCTCTGTGCAAGCCTTTCCCTTCACACGCAGCACACAGGTCATAGTCAGGGCAGACCCTACACTTGTAGCGTGTCCCCACCACTGGCCCACTGCAACCATCACAGATCACGTTGGGGTGCACCAAGTTGCGGGGTGCTTCCTGAGCACATGGGGGTCGGTGGTCCCGCCGGCACTCCTTCTTCTCTGCAGGAAGAGCAGAGAACAATGAGGTCCAGCCCCCTGAAGTCTCCTGCTCATCCCTACTACAGGACTATCAGAGCAAGCCACTGACCCTGCTTTCCAGATATGGAGTCCATGCAGAAATCAGTTGGCTCAAGTGAAAATAATAAAATGATGAGTGAACTTACCAGGAGGTTCCCAATCTCTGTGTCTACCACCCAGCCACACGTGGCCCACGCAAGAGAAAAGCAGCAGAGCAGGAAGCTCTGTATACATACCTTTGACCTTGCATCTCACCAACACAGATCCCACAGTACCCCCAAACTCAGCCTAGGCACCAGAGTGAGCTCTCAGACCCTCCAACCCCAAGCCCTGTGGTGGATATGGACTCCTCTTTCAAGCCAAGCACAGTAATGACTATGTCAGTCTTACAGATTACAGGTGTCTCACTTTTTCTTTGTAGAAATATGTTAAACATCAGTACCTTAGGACCCCAGAGCACCCCCCTTCTTTACCTTTAATATAAATCCGGAAGATGCCATCCTTCACGTAGGACATTGCCATTGTCAGCTCCTCATCGCTGGAAAAGGCAACCAAGTCTCCATCCTCATCTAGATTGTTTACAAGAGCACATTAGCATCCAGGGCTTCTCAGAGGGCCACAAGCTAAGCTGTTATAAAGGGCAGAGGCCAGTGCTAAAGGGGCACTGGCAGAGCTATCTTCTAGAACCCCCTAGTTTGAGCCACGGGGAGTGAGGCTGAGCTAAGATGGCCCATCCACAATAACATGCCTGAAAAGTTCTGGCCACCACAGGTGGTAGAAAGCATGCATGCCGAGGTAGCATGGGGGAGCAGCAGGCTGGGCCAATTACTCCTTCAGAAAGGTACCACCTTAGTCCAAATTCAACCAGGTCCAGGCAGATCTTCAGAATACCCTACCTGTGACCTGCTCCTAGAGGGCACAACCTCTCTTCAAAGGCCCTGGGCCCCTCACAGTTTCAGAGAGTTACCTGGATGAGCGCATTTAATTACTTCTTTCCAAATGAAGCTAACCATTGTGCACTGTCTCCAGTTTCCATGTTAACTCATACTGTCTTAAAGCACCACCACCAAGGCCAAACCACAGATACATTGGCAGTTTGGGCCAGTTTGTGTGTCACCACATGTAACACCTGCTGCAAGAACAGTGTCAAGAGGTGGAAACAACCCAAACTTCTGTCAATTAATGAATAAACAAAATGTGGTATGTCCATAAAATGGAGTATTATTCAAACACAAAAAGGAATGACAGACTGACACAATGGTACACATTGTAAACACTGAGAAGTCAATTCAAAATACATATTTTAAATATCTAGAATACAGAAATTCAGAGAGAAAAATCATGGTTGCTCAAGAATGGGAGGGGGCCCAGAGGACAGGTAAAGGGTATTTTCTTGATACCATACTGAAAAGTTCTAAGACTGTGAAGATGGCTGCATAAGTATGTGAATATGCTAAAAACCATACATTTTAAATGGGTCTATTATACGGTATGTGTATCATACCTCTATAAACATATTACAACAGAATCAAAAACAAAACCTGATTTGGCAGCAATCCTAAGGGAGGTCCGGGACCGCCCAGGGGCGGGCCTTGGCAGACCACTTCCCTCCAGCCACAACCACCCCAAGCCGCACCCCCAGCGGCCACCAGTCACACCAGGCCACCCGTCACAGGAAGCTCAGCTGGCTCCTAGGTCTCCTTGTGCAGCGCTTCCAAAGAAAGATCTCGAAGATTGTTAATGCATGAAGGGTAATGCCTGGAGGAGGCTGGGGTGTTACCTGGCCTGGGGAGGTCAGTCCCCTACTACCCCTCCCACTAAAGGTGGGGCCTGCACCTCACGTTTGTTTACACGCGTGCGTCACTCATCTCCCTTCGTCATGTCTCCCTTCGGCACTGCTCCACGAGCGCTGGGTCAAGGTTCTTCCTGGCTCTATGCGACCGCCCCACCGGGCGCTGGCTGGCCCAGAGTCGGCGGCAGCAAGATCTCAGTGTAACCTGAGTGCCGGCCTGCCCACCCTGTGCCTGCTGCGAGCCAAGGTCGCCCCAGCCTGCAGCGCTGAGATCTGCCACATCATGGTGGGGGGGGGGGGGGAGTGAGGGTGGCATCTGCCGCCCTAGGCCTGGGGACCCCGAGAGCCCTGACAGAGCCAGGCCGCTGCGAAGCTGACTCTGGGCCCCAGGCTGGACCTCGGGGTCGGCCCGGGGACCCACGCAGACCGGCGCCCACCAGCCAACGGCCAAGGCCAACCTCCTCTGGCGCCACCAGGCCTGACGCGCGGCACGGCGGCCGCCCGCCCGCGAAGGCAGGCCCGCTAGGCCCGCGCTGCCCCGGGAGCCCGGCCACTCACCGCGGTAGTGGGCCAGAAAGCCGCCGGGCCGCAGCGCGGGGAACAGGGCGGCCACCCGGCTCAACAGCCGCTCGCAGCGCGGGGGGCCGGACGCGGCCTCGGCCTCCGCCTCCGGCTCCGCGCTGAAGCAAAAGCTGAACCGGCGGATCTCGCGAGTCGCGTCCTCCTTGCCCAGAAGGTAGGCCTTCACGGTGAGCGACGCCATGGCAGAGGTCCGCGAGCCGCAGCCAACTGGCAGGGGCGGCCGCCGGCGC